TGTGTGTGTGTGTGTGTGTGTGTGTGTGTGTGTGTGTGTGTGTGTGTAAAAACTTGAAGACTACCCTTCCCATCCAGTGTGGGGAGGGGGGGGAAAGCAGGGGTGGCATAGGCATTGTAGAGGAGTAAAGGGGGTGAAAAAATATAAAAGTCAGCGTTTGGGGTTTTTTTTTACTATGGCAACTAAACAAAAGCCCCTTCAATCTGATGAGGAGGAGGAGTTTTTGTTTTTTTGATGAAACATTTCTAAAGCTCAAACGTTTTAGCTGAAAATTTTCACAGAAATATAATAAAACTTTTTGACCCACAATCATTGATAAGCAATCCTTTTTTCTCTTACTCAGCCAGAGTATACGAACATTTGCTTTTGGTACATTCCATCAAGCTTAAGAAAAATGGAGGAAGGACCTGAGTTCTGGGAGAAGCTCCATCAGGTGAGTAGTACATGTATGGCTTACTGGTTTATTATGATTATCCCTTCAGCCAGGGAAGAAGGAGAAATAGCTCCTGGATGTGCCCACCATTAACTCATCAATAGAATGTTATTTAATCCTTAGATAGATGTTACTAGGATTTCTAAGTTTATTATGCTCTCTATTTAGACAAGGCTAATTAAGTTTCTTTCTTCTTAATGTAACAAAAGCAGACATTATGCAAGTATTTAGTTTACTATCAAAACTGTTAGCAGATGATGGAGCTGAGAGAAGAGGAACAATATTGTCTGTATCTCTTGTCTAGACAGAGCATTCATTACCTATTTCATACACTTAACATTGTCCTTGGGACTTGTCTTGCATTATCAGTGGATAATGTAAGGGAAGAAGTGCTTAAGAATACATTTCTGATGTTAAGCAACCCATAAAAGGAAGTAGGACTAGAATGGAAAAAAAAAAATAATGGTGAGCCTTTTGGTAACTTTTGTCACTCTTATGGAAAATTACTAACATTTTGAAAATGGACTAAATTCTTTGATCAGAGTAAATTAACTACAGAGGAGCCTACAGTTAAGATTAATTAGAAAAGTAATGGAAACTGTGATATTTGTGTATTATTGAATAAGAAACTCTGCAACAAAGTGAGCCAAGCTGATTGTTGGTGGGTGGCTTGTTCTGCTTTTCCTTTTAACATACGTTAACTAGGCAGTAGAAATGCAAGGTGGAGTGAGGATATGTAAATCCTATACACAGCTAGGAAATCTTTCCTGCAGAGCCCAGCTCTTCTCCCAATGGTGCTCACAACACAAACAGACCCCCTTTGAATTAAAGCAGGATACTTCTGTCTTCGGGGATAAGATCTTCTCTCCCCCAAATATTTTATTGTTAAAAAAAAAAAAAAATGTATACCTAACATTTATACAAGCCCCATAAGCAAAAATGGGTCAGGTACTCAGCTGGTGTAAGTTAGCAGAGCTCCATTGACTGCAATAGAGCTATGCTGTTTTACATCAGCTGAGGATCCGGCCCATGGTCCCTGATCCAAGAAGCTTATAAAGTATGTTAGGTGCTCTATGGCCCCAAGCAGGGTGGGGGCAAAGAGAGGTTTCCATATTCCGTATCGCAAGACGCCGCACGTGTTGGGTTGGATCAGATCATGAGGACCCCTTATCGCAAGATGCTTCCTCTCCCCTCCATACACAACTGTCAATGGCCTCTCACTGTAACAGTGCCTGTGCCCCTCAGGGAGCAAGACTCTGAAAACGGGGCAGGGAGGAGCAAAGAAGAGGGGAGGTGATGGTCCCCCACCTTTCTCTGTGCCCACTTGTGTAGAAGGGCTGGCGCACTAGGGAGGAGGGAAGGGGTAGAGATGGAATAGAGGGACACCTTAGAGCACACGGAGAATGCCTTCCTGAGTCTCCCCAGTGCAGCCCCTGGAGCAGTGCAGCTCCACGCACCACCTATCAGGGCTGTGGTGTAAATACCACAACATATCCCATTCTGTTAGCTTGGTTAAGTTAGCTTTTATAAGGTTGGCATGGGACTCTGCATCCCAATAGAAGGTAGGTTGGAAGAAAGGATTTGAAGGAAGAAAGGGAGTTTCTGTACAAAGGAAGGGAAGAGTGTTTTCCTTCGCCTTCCCAATAATCCAGGGGGCAGCTCTGCGGTTATTTTATTTCTCCATCCCCAACACTGGGAGGGGAGGAGGAGCAGCAAATGTGTGACACAAAGTGCAACAGAGACTCACTGAGAGAGAGAAGCAGAAAAGAATATAGCTGAAAGATTCAAACACCTGGGGGTTAATGTCTTTAACATCAGTATAATTAAGTTCCATGATTCAACATTGTTGATTTAAATAATTTACAATAATTAATCTAATAATTAATAATATACTAATTAGTAAAAAGGTGGAAGAAAAGAGGTAGTAAGGAGTGCAATCCTTGCCAAGAGGCTTAAGACCTAGATAGCTGAAGATTTAAGAGGCTTGTTGCATCATGTCATCGTTATTCAGTGTGGGGATGTATACGATTTCCTTCTTAACTGCTGGCACTTCCTGAATATCTTCATTATTTCACTAAAATGAACATTTAAAAACAATTAATTTACAATATGTCTTTTCATACCATACTTAAACACAGTAATTATTCCATTTAGACAAAGATCAGTCATCTACTTTTTTGATGATCTGCAAGTCTGTGAATAAGTAAGTGAGGGTGTTTGTTAGAAATTCCTTGTGCTGTTCACTGATTTATTACGCTGCGTATTCAGCAATAGAACTCAGAATTATACACTGTTTTCTAAGGTTATTTATGTTTAGTGCTTGTGACAGATGCTAAGCTAACAGCACTGGGACCATATCCTCAGCCTTGCTAAGGTGACTTTGTGCCATTAGAGTGATGCAAAGTAACCTTAAAGCTTCCCTGCACTTTGGCTTTACTCCAGACTTCATGGCCCACGTGGTGCAGGGCATGTGTCAGGACTGGCTGAGGCCATGGTGGGATCTCATTATGATGTCACAGTTATTGTCCTGCACAACCTGTTATCTCTCTCAAAGCATTTTTCCATTTAATGCTTACTGTACATTTGTACAGAATATAAAACTAGAATGCAGGCTCCTATTAAAGCAAAAATCTATGTGTGGGCTGGGAAGGAGGAGGAGGGGGAATGCACTTTCTATACCATTAGAAGCAGACGTGATACTGTCAACAGTAGATATTCATCAGAGTGTATACTGGAGCATTTTAAAGAGCAGAAGACAATGATGGTGGTGGGGGAAAATAAGGTTGTCAGACATTAGTAATGTAGTGGAAATGGGCTTTATTTGGAGCATTCAGCACTGTACCATAAAAGACTAAAATATTTTCAAGATTACAGTAGCAGCTAGAGGTCCCACTGAAAACCAGGGCCCCATTGTGCTAGGACCTGTACACATGAACAATGAGAGAGAGTCCTTGCTCTAAAGAGCTTATATCACCTTAAATGCCTCTTTAGTGCCTGGCATGTAGCACAAACGTCAGAGCAAACTACGGATTCAAACCAAATGCTTTAAACAAGATTCTGAAAAAGTAAAGGAAGATGATAGGAGGGATTTCTTTCTTGGGCTTATAAAAAAATAAGTGGAGCGTCCTGGTAAATGAGAAGCTTTTGTTACAATCAAATAGGAAATAACCGTGGATCTCGGTATGCGTCGCACTGCAAAATAAGGGAAATTGCTTCTAACCTGGAATTGATGCAACTCATTGGATAAAGTGACAAGCCTTGAATAGCTTTGTTAGTACTGTACATGCCCCCTGGTGGTTTTTTCCTGCTCATTCTTTTACGAATGCATTGTAAATAGGTACAATTTAAAACAAAGGGAGCCAATGGAATATAGAGCTAATTAAAGACACGATGAAGAAAGAAAACTGTGGTGCTCCCTACCATGTGGGGGGAAGGGGAAGGGAAAGGAAAGTGGAAATTTAATCCCAGCCCCCTCTACACTTTAAAGGGTATCATTTCGTAACTATAGATATCCATGTGTATTTGTGTTCATAAAGGGGTCAGGTTCTGGCCCCCCCATGGCTCCGTTTGCAGGGCCCCAGCAGCACAGAGGAAGGAAACTGGCTCCATCACTGTAGCTGGGGATTCCTGCTGCATGAGAGAATCCCCACACGGCACTGAAATTGCATAGCTGGTTCCTGGTCATGCCACCCCTGCAGCCTCCTGTCCAGGGATGTGTTGGGGAGGAGCAGGGGTTTGTCAGGGGTGCAGCTGGAGCATGTTGCACTCCAGCTCTGCTCCACTGACCAATGACATTGCCAGCTGGTATAGATTAGAGGAGATTGCAGGCTGCTCCAAACTCTGCTGGGCCTGGGACAAGCATAAAACCAGCACCAAGAAAAGGGAGAAGTAACTTTCTTCTGGTTGATTCCCTATTCTACTGGCCCGTTGGAATCTTTGCTAGAAGAGGATATGGGCCATAATTTTATGTATTCATGTAGGATGAAATTTATCCCAGTGCAGGGAACCAATGGAACATACTAGATGCCATATAAGCCCATAAAGCCGGATTTAAGTGATGTAATTGACCTTGTCGTGGGTCCTTTGCACTGGGGTGAATTTCATCTATATTGTATTTCTAAACAATATGTGTTAGAGCATCATATTCCTGTCACGTCAGTATGGCTTCTATACAAAATTTTAGTTCTGATACTGACCTTTCAGTCTGAACATTTATTTCGATTTTGCCTTTTTGCGTTGGATGCTGTCCTTTATAGGATTTTTTGGTCAAGTTTTGCAAACATTAGTTTGATTATATTTCAATGACCAGAAGGCAAAGCATTTTAGGAGTGTAAGATACTTTTTCTGCATTCGTATGTAGCTGTGCTATAAAACCTGAACCTTGGTGTGTCATTTTCCCCCTTTATCTAGACTAACTCCTTCCCCACTCCTACCCACCTTTGGAGAAAAACATGTTTCTGATTAGGTTGGTAAAAGAGCCTGTCACACGAGCAGTGTTCTGATACATTTATAGACTGAAAAGCTGTCTATCAATGCAGAAATGGAAGTTGCCAAGGCAACTCTATTTCAACCCCCTTACAAGTCTTGTAGTACTAATCAAATACAAATCAAGGGCCCAATTCTGCACACCCAAAATATCCATTGACTGCAATAGGAGTTTTGAGTGGGCAAGAAATGCAGGACCTAGAATAATCTGGACGACTAGATTTGCCCCTTCATTATTTATCTTAGGACAGCAACAAATTAATGGCACAGTTAACAGCTGCTACATGAAACAAGAGGGCACAGTCTTTGCACAGCCAAATGGCCCCTTGGTATCTCTGTGAGTTTTGTCTGCATATGATATGCAGGATTTGGGCTCAGTTTTGTCTCTTTTACCCCATCACTCTCTTGTTATAATACTTTACATTTCCCTTTTCCTCATTAAGAAATTGACTTAAAAAATGTGTACTTTGGGAGAGTAGGTGTTGCAGTCCTGATTCTGTAAACCCTTGTTTACA